CAGCCACGCCCGCTCCCACCTGCGCCAGATGGGCATTACTGAGTGGTCTGTCAACGGCTCGCCCATCGACACCCTGAGGGAGGTAATGCACAAGAGAGGGGTAGGCGCCTCCTCTCACTCAGACCAGGGAGTGAAGAAGGAGTCAAGCCAGGGAGCCAACAGTCCTCCATGGGAGAACACAGGGGGCACCGGCAGTTCAGAGGGTTTGGGTGTTTCAGGCTACCAGTCCTCCAAATTCCGCAAATCTCCTCTCAGTTTGCTGCAGTCTGGGTCGAGGCTCCACAAGCAGGGCCTGGGGTCCGTGGGCACATCTGCTAACCCGTCTGGAGGGAAGTACTTCAGGATCTCCCCACTGGGGAAAAGGCCTCTGTCTGAGGAGACCCAATCAGTCGAGACTGGCCACTCACCACCACATCAGCTTAAGACTTTCTCACCTCTGCCACATGATTTCTCCTTCAAAAGAAAACCGTCCCCAGACAAGCACGGACACCAGGGTGAGTCACTAACTGGTCTTTAGTTTTTCTGTCATGTTGATAATTATTCTCTCGTCACTTTACTCCTTTACTGTACGTTTCAGATCCCAGTTGTGAGCTGTGTGGTTTCTACTTTGAGAACCGTAAGGCTCTGGCCAGCCACGCGCGAGCCCACCTGAGGCAGTTCGGTGTGACTGAGTGGTGTGTAAATGGATCCCCCATCGAGACGCTTAGCGCCTGGATGCGCAGCAGGCCGCAGAAGGTGTTGGAGATGCATCGTAGCTACATGCAGGGTAGCCGCTCCACCCTCAAGAAGGTGAGGAGAGCCAGTCAGTTGTAAAGCTGGTAATTCATTTTAACGCAGGTCAGTGCAGGTGTTTTAACTCAACTCAGCAAAGTCTATTGTTGAATGTTTTTAGGGTTTTTTTTGTCCTTGGAGAAAAAATTAAAAAAATCAGTGAAAGAACTTGTGCTTTTAAGCTAAGCAGCTATACAATATAAGATCATAACCTGCGGTGTTACCTTCCTGACACACTCACTTCTCTCCCAGTGTCTTTGAATAGGAGTCATGCCTGGAGATCTAACACGCCTCAGCTGGTGGCTCGACAGACATTTTGTGTCTTGGAAAGCTTCAGACGTGTTGTCTAACAGCTTTGAGCCTTACTGTAGATCCTGTGTCTTTACACCCAGCAAAAATCACTGTGGGGACAGATGCCAGAACAACTCAGCTATTGACTTGATAGTTGCCATAGTAACCAGGGTGCCTGGCAGCTTATGTTTCATCCTCAGATAAATTATGGCATGCTGTTGATAGAAGAAAACGTACGCTTTTTTTTTTCTTTTTTTCTTTTTCTCCCTCCTGAATTAGTTTCTGGTGCATTTGCGTCACTGTCACACCTTTTCCCTGAGCTGTGATGTGACACACATACAGAATGGATCACATTTTTAAATGTCCTTGTAATCATATTGTAAAGATCTTTTTTTTTTTTCATAATGGAGAAATGAACTCAACTAAGCTGCATGCATTGTACGGTCGGCCTGTATCTAAGGGACGTGTAGGCATTGATGGCTGATTAGAGGATTTGAAATAGCAACTATTTTGATAATTAATTAATCATTAAGTCGTTTTTCAGGTGTTAAACATTCCCTAGTTCCAGCTGCTCATTGGATGGATGTGCTACTTCATATGATTGTAAACTCAGTGTTTTGGGGTTGGACTGAACAATTAATTTAAAGACATCATATTGGTCTTTAGCAAATTGTGATGGCACTTCATAGACCAAATGATTAATAGATAGTATAACTGACAGATTAATCCATAATGAAAATAATAAATAAGGCTGAAATTAAATCTCATAAAATTGGTGATGTCTTAATCAACAGTACAAAACCCAACGATGTTCAGATCACAATGTAATAAAACAAAGAAAAACTGAAATTAATTCAACTAAATTATTCACATTTCATAAGCTGAATCCAGTTTGGCTTTTTTGCCAGATGAATAACTTAAAGGATTAATCAATTAAATAGTTGACAGTTAATTCTGTCAATCGACTAATCAATTCATTGACTGATTGTCACAGCTTTAGTGAGCTTACTACATGGTTGGTCCAGAGTAGTTGAACACTGTATATAGCATTCATAGTTAAATTTAGGGCTGCAACTGGCGATTATTTTCATTACTGATTAACCTGTCAACCATTTTCTCGATTAATTGATTAGTTGTTTGGTCCATGAACTGTTGAAAAATTGTAAAAATGTTGATCCCAAAGCCCAAAGTGACGTCTTCAAAAGTCTTTTGTCCACAACCCAAAGATGTTCAGTTTACTGTCAGAGAGATACCATAAAATATTCACATTCAAGAGGCAGTGGCGGAACTAGACTTTTATACAAGGGGTGGCCAGAGGGTGGTCAAGGCTTTATGAGGGGGGCCATATACTAGGCCTAATAAAGTAAAATCCTGGGATGCCGCAGGTCGGATTCTGAGCTAACCTCGCGCCGACACTACCATAGTATAACCTGGACGGACGGAAACTGGCTGGAGGAAATGGACCTAAGT